AGGAGGAGGAGGAGGAGGAGGAGGAGGAGGAGGAGGAGGAGATGAAGAAGATCTTTTTCCAGGGGGGTCACGATAACTATTGAGAGAAGATAAACATGGATTGTTTTTCCCAGACATGGAAACAGTGCTCTTGAAGAACTGAAAACGAGAAGATGATGGTGATATTGGAGGAGGAGGAGGAGGAGGAGGAGGAGGAGGAGGAGGAGGAAGAGGAAGAAGAAAGATGTCATTGAAAAATGTCTCAACCTTTCCCTTCCGGTGATAATTACACAGACGGATTCAAGCTGGAACCTCAGAAACCCTCGGGGCAATCCTCTCCGTCCCTTCTCTGAAAACAGGGCTGCCCTTCCCCTTCAGGACTTACAGCAGGTGAGTGTACACCGTGTCTCCCATGTAGCCACTGAGGATGATATGCTTTTTGGTAAGGTCATAAACGGGCAGCTCCACGCCAACCACCACCGCCGCTCTCTGAGCGGTAAGTGAGACTCCCTGGAAAAAGAAGAGCACACCCGTAGAGTCAAAACAAAGCAACTTGTCCTTTAACAAACAATTTACAGCTTTATCTGTGATATTAGCTTCTTTATTGAGCTATTCTACTCTGGGACAACCCTTACAGTGATTCTGAAAAGATGGGACCGGTGTTTTTAATAAATCAATCGCGAAAGAAGCTGAATTTATTTTTATTTCCCCAAGAGAAAGTCCAAGGTAGAATCTGTCGAATACCAGAAATTCTCCATCCATCCGTTTTCCTGTTAATAATTCTTAGAGTTCTCCCACCTACCCAGTTTTCCCGTTAATAATTCTCCTTAGAAAAAAAACCACCTGCAAATGTTCTCCCAAATACAGGAGTGGCCAACATTGTGGAAACGTTTTGGGAAAAGGGTACAGTAGAAATGCCCCCTTTGGTGAAGTTTCCACCCATTTTTCTTCCAATTTCTTTATAACTGTAGCCTCGTTCACTTAATAAATACTATTTTACATCGCTTTCTGGGCGACCAGTCAACTCTTTGCACCGTTACTTTAATTTTATTACGTTTTACAAGCTCACTCAATGAAAGAACACAAAAAAACCCAACCAACTTGATAGCGATCACATAACACACTGACAAATGTCCTCCTCTCAGCTTCAATACAGGACATCAATAACTGGATCCTACTGTGATCTGATTGGCTCATGGCCAAAACAAGATGACACCCGATTGGCTCTCTAAACACTCATGCTCATTGGCTACAATCAGGTGAAGGAAAGCTACCTGAGATCAACCTGAGCAAGTTGTGCTTCCTTTTTCTGGTTATTTGGCTCTAACTTTTCACAGAATACAGTACAGATAATTGAACAAACTATGTTGCATTACATTCTTGATTAAATTATCTTTCCATTGATATATAATTTTATGGTACTACTCCCCCCAAAAAAGGGGGGTGTTATTAGCCATCAAACCTTAAAAATACACTTTTCCCAAAAGGTTTCCACAATGTTGGCCACTACTATACTTCAGAATCACAGAGATTGGACGCTAATGAGGAACAAACCGGAATTTCTCTCTCCCCTCTTACAGATTCAATGTGTTTCCTACAATCTGCAGGTCCTGCTTTGGGTGTTCTGTTGGGAGAATAAAAATAATTCAGATTCTTTCACGATGGGTAGCTTCGCTTCGCTGATTCCCAGGTCGTGGCACGGACAGGACGGTGCTCTTGGCCGCATTAGAAACTTTCGGTGCAAAAGATTCCCATAAATCCACAAATTAAGAAGCATTTCTCCCTATCTATAAACACGACAGATGCAACGTTTCAACTTTAAATTCAAAAAAACTTAGGTTTTGCCCAGTCTGGAGGAAAACATCCACAATCCAGATGGAGTTCCTTCGCAGCCCTCGTCCTGGGAACTTTCTCAGCTGGAACCAGGAGAATTTGGCACGGTTTCTGAAACGGATTGAGTTCACTTGCCTTCCACAAGCCTCGGGTGCCTTCCTTCTGATAAATATTCATGAAGTTCCCAAGCATTCCACCCGCCACGAGGCTTCCTTGAACTTGCATCCGGATCTAGGATTTATCGGGGATAGGAAAGAAGAAAAGAGAACAGAAAAAAGAAAAGGTGTCACCTATGGATCGGGGTGCAGTTTTCCCGTGATGAAACGAGAGCATCAATCAAAACTGACATCCGTTGGGCTCAGATGTAACCCTAAACCAGAGATGGGCAGCTTAATTTCAAAGGGCACCTTTGAGAGATCATGTAGGTCTCTTGCCCTTTTTTGGGGGGGAGGGAAGAGTAAGAACATGTTCCCCCCCCCAACCCCACCCCCCCCACACACACACAGACACACAGGAAAAGAACGTGCTTTTTCTGCCAACTTTTGGCTACGGCTCAACTTACTCTTGTCTCAGTCCTATCTAAGATGGGAGATTCCAGAATAAAAGTTGCCTCTTCTGTAATGTGTTTTACAACCAACTGTTTTGGGAAGCAACCTTTCTCACTGGCTGGAAAGGAAAACGTAACACAAAAACGTTGCCGGGCACCGATTTGATTCCAAAGGAAACGCTGAGTGGAATATAAAAGGCAAAATTCACCTCCAAAAGTTACCCAGCTGCCTTTCCATTTATGCTTAAAAAATGAGCATAAAAATGGAAAGGCAGTTTGGTCTGGAGGTTAAAGCGGCAGGCTAGGAACCAGGAGACTGTGAGTTCTAGTCCCACCTTTAGGCATGAAAGCCAACTGGGTGACTTTGGGCCAATCACTAGGAGACTGGGAGTTCTAGTCCCGCCTTAGGCATGAAAGCCAGCTGGGTGACTTTGGGCCAATCACTAGGAGACTGGGAGTTCTCGTCCTGTCTAAGGCATGAAAGCCAACTGGGTGACTTTGGGCCAATCACCAGGAGACTGGGAGTTCTAGTCCCGCCTTAGGCATGAAAGCCAACTGGGTGACTTTGGCCCGATCACCAGGAGACTGGGAGTTCTAGTCCCGCCTTAGGCATGAAAGCCAGCTGGNAGGAATTCTGGGAGTTGAAGTCCACGAGTCATGAAGGGGCCTAGGCCAGGGGTAGGCCACCTTGGCTCTTTTATGACTGGTGGACTTCAACTCCCAGAATTCCTGAGCCAGCCATGCTGAGGGGAAAGGGAGAGGTTTCCAAGCTGAGCCAGGCTGGCTCAGGAATTCTGGGAGTTGAAGTCCACGAGTCATGAGGGGGGCCATAGTTCCCCCATGCTGGCTCAGGAATTCTGGGAGTTGAAGTCCACGAGTCATGAAGGGGCCTAGGCCTAGGCCAGGGGTAGGCCACCTTGGCTCTTTTATGACTGGTGGACTTCAACTCCCAGAATTCCTGAGCCAGCCATGCTGAGGGGAAAGGGAGAGGTTTCCAAGCTGAGCCATGGCCGGCTCAGGAATTCTGGGAGTTGAAGTCCACCAGTCATAAAGGGACCATGGATCCCCCATGTTGGTTCAGGAATTCTGGGAGTTGAAGTCCACCAGTCATGAGGGGGCCATAGTTCCCCCATGCTGGCTGAGGAATTCTGGGAATTGAAGTCCACGAGTCATAAAAGAGCCAAGGTTGACTACCCCTGGTCTAAAGGTCAGCTTATCAATAAGGAACAAATAGAATGCTATCCAGATGTTTTGGACCACGTGTTCCCATCGTCCCTCGCCTCTGAAAGTTGGGACTCAGGAGGGTTGAACCACATCGCGATTTCAGTCACGGTACAAAACAGGCACACACACACACCCCCTCATTCTGCAACACCGGACCCTGCAAATTGTGTTCGGGATAAAGATCTCTTATCTAACGTTGTTCTTGAAGGACGTCTACGGACCTGAAGCAAGCAGTCTAGAGTTCCCTTGTAGCCGGGCTGGGGCCCGGTTCGTACGGTTCTCTGGTTCATCATCCGCGTCCTCACCACATCGATGGGGTTGGATGCCAGCGCTCCCGCTAAGCCGCAGGTAAAGCTGGCCCTGAGAGGAGAAATTCAGAGGATCGTTCAAAACGGCCGTCTCGGAAAACGAGAAAAGGCAACAGCAAGTGTGACTGTTCGGCTTCCTCAAAGGATGCCGTAGGGCAGCGTTTCCCATACTTCAGACATGTCAAACTCGCGACGTCACGTGATGTCGCGGGACGTGTCGGAACTTTTTCCCCATTGCCGGCAATGGGGTGGGGGCGGTTTCCTTGTGACGCGTCCGGCCTGCGGGCCGGTAGTTTGACACCCCTGCCATATTTGATGACTTTGAAATGGGGGGGGAGGAGGAGAGGGAAGGAAGAGGAAAAAGAGGAGGAGGAGGAGGAGGAGAAAGGAAGAGGAAGAAGAGGAGAAAGGAAGAGGAAGAAGAAGAGGAGGAAGAGGAGGAGGAGAAAGGAAGGGGAAGAAGAGGAGAAAGGAAGAGGAAGAAGAAGAGGAGGAGGAGGAGGAGGAGAAGAAGAAGGGAAGGGAAGGGGAAGGGTAGTAGTAGTAGTAGTAGTAGTAGTAGGAGTAGGAGTAGGAGGAGGAGGAGGAGGAGGAGGAGGAGGAGGAGGAGGAGGAGGAGATGAAGATCTTCTTCCAGGGTGATCACGATAACTATTGAGATAAGATAAACATGGATTATTTTCCCCAGACATGGAAACACTGCTCTTGAAGAACTGAAAACGAGAAGATGATGGTGATATTCAAGGAGGAGGAGGAGGAGGAGGA